CCCTGCATCCCTGCAGGCGCTACTTCATCGAAGCTGGTTTGCGCTCTGCTTTTATACTTTCTGGTGCTTATGTCACCTTAACCTGAGACGTTCCCTTTCGAAAGGGAACTCTACGCTGCGTCCTCTAGAGGGTGCTATGGGGAACGGTAAATCAACGCCGCAATGCTGAAGGGATGAGTACCTTATTGGCTGAGCCAAGACAAGACTCAAGGAGTCCTCACCCCTGCACCTGCAACACAACCATAGACCAGAACTTCTAAGAAGCGGAGGCCAAAGAGACTCACATAGAGCCTAACGCTCAGTTTAGCTAAATGGCCCGCGAAGCTCTGCAGAGTGGAGGCCTAAATACAACACTTCTCAAAGTGAGAGGTGGCCTAGCACACTCCATATATGGTCAGTAGCCAAGGGGGCTCCAAGAGAGCCAAACAACCTAGCATACTACCTTACCGCCTAGCCGAGCTCTAGGAGCGGAGACCTCAACATGAGGAGGCCTAACTAACACCCCACGCTCAGGACATCTTGTAAGGAGGCTCACATAGAGCCTACAACACACAGATCCTGTTCTAGTGGAGCTCTCGTGAGCGGAGGCCTCAATAAATAACCCTCTGTAGCGAGAGGAGGCCTGACGACGCTCACAGTAAATGGCCGAACTCTAGGAGCGGAGGCCTCAACATGACGACTCTCTAAACGAGAGGAGGCCTAACTACACCCCACGCTTAGGACATCTTGCAAGGAGGCACACATAGAGCCTACAACTCACCGACACTGTCCTGGCGGAGCTCTGGCGAGCGGAGGCCTCAATAGATATCTCTCTGTAGCGAGAGGAGGCCTGACGACGCTCGCAGTAATTAGCCGAGCTCTAGGAGCAGAGGCCTCAGCATGACGACTCTCTAAACAAGTGGAGGCCTAACTACACTCCATGCTCAGGACATCTTCTAAGGAGGCTCACAGAGAGCCTACAACTCACAGATCCTGTCCTAGTGGAGCTCTCGTGAGCGGAGGCCTCAATAAATAGCCCTCTGTAGCGAGAGGAGGCCTGACGACGCTCACAGTAAATGGCCGAGCTCTAGGAGCGGAGGCCTCAACATGACGACTCTTTAAACGAGAGGAGGCCTAACTACACCCCACGCTTAGGACATCTTGCAAGGAGGCACACATAGAGCCTACAACTCACCGACACTGTCCTGGCGGAGCTCTGGCGAGCGGAGGCCTCAATCTACAGCCCTCTGTAGCGAGAGGAGGCCTGACGACGCTCACAGTAAATGGCCGAGCTCTAGGAGCGGAGGCCTCAACATGACGACTCTTTAAACGAGAGGAGGCCTAACTACACCCCACGCTTAGGACATCTTGCAAGGAGGCACACAGAGAGCCTACAACTCACCGACACTGTCCTGGCGGAGCTCTCGTGAGCGGAGGCCTCAATAAATAAACCTCTGTAGCGAGAGGAGGCCTGACAACGCTCATAGTAAATAGCCTGTGATGCTTTGCTGTCCACAACCTATACGCTCCAGTGTCACTATTAAAAAAACAATAACATTCGTCTGCATAAATCTGTTTGTCTAATTATGATGTGATCATTAATTAAGTAAAGCTTGGAAAAAAACACATATACTTGCAGGAAAAAATTACAATGCATCTCTCAGTATTTGTGTTTGGCACAATAAATCAACTTCAGCCCAGATGAGGGTTTTTATAAGTGTACAGGGACACAACGTTATCGCGAGGTGCCGGCTGTTTGTTCTCTGCCTGTGTGTGTACTATAACAGCACGCTGTTTTTCCTGCATTATGAATGCGTGTGTAATTGTGCAGCTGAATGGCCTCCACTCTGCTATCAGAGCCGCCTGCTGTTCAGAGCCTCAGCCGAGCACTAATGTCAGACCCCTGCGCCTATTTACAGCATTTAATGGGCTCTATGGCTGGTCTCAGCACAGCCGTGGTTTCAGTCTAGAGTAAAGCAGGCCACTGAGATTTAGACGGACACTGTGCTTAGTGCTTTACTTTCTGGAAAACAGGGAAACAAGAAAAAAAATACAGACTGGACAGATGAGGAAAAATGGGAAAAAGAAAAGACATTTTGCCAAATTCAGTCCAGCTAATGACTACCCTTGTGGAAAAAGTAAATTTTAGCATATAAAAAGAATACTTGTTGCGCAAATGGTAACACTTTACAATAAGGTCCATTAATTAACGTTAATTATTGCATTAACTAACAATGAGCAATTTGTTACAGTATGTGCTTATCTTTGATAACATTAATTAATAAGTTCAACTGTTCATTGTTAGTCAACATCCATTAAGTAATATAAACAGACACAACTTTGAATTTTAATAATGTATTGGTAAATGTTTAAATTATTATAACTGAGAGTAATAAATTCTTTACAAATTTACAAATATACAAATATTTTCCATTGTTACTTCATGTTAACTAATGTAGTTAACGAATGGTAACAAATGGAACATTATTGTAGAGTTACCGCTCAATTAAAAAAACTTTGTTTTGATACAGTTGATCGCATATTAATTGCAATTAAATGAAATGTATTAGAGTTTACAATTAAATTAAATGCAATTAGTTGGAATTTAGAGTGCTTTCAGACCCACTCAAGTAGGACTTAAGTACATCTTTATGTAATTTCAAAATCTACTGTATTTTAAAAATGGTTACTGTATTTTAAAAGTGTACTGACAAGCATTTATGGTAAACTAAGTATATTTTAATGTTATTTTCCTTCAAACGTGTATGTCATGTATTTAAATATATTTGTAATTTAACATTCGTAATAATAAACGTGGAGTTTAGTTAATTTGAAATATATTAACTGTAAATGTAATATTGAATAATACATTCTAGATAAATACTGTAAGTACAAGTACAAATACCATACTAATGCAAGTAGTTTCCATGTGCTTTAGTACAGTATGTTAGCCAACACATCAAAAGAAGTGCACTTCTTTAAAGCAAGACAAAATATTATTTAATCATACATTAAAATGTACATTAAAACTTCATTTGACATTATTACAAAGTGCACTTTTTAAAAGTGTGTTAAGAAACCGTCATGAAATTGTGTTCTTTTTATGTACACTTAAGCAGCCTTTTACTTAATTAATTTTATATTATCTGCAAATACATTTTTTTTTTTAAATATACTTTTAAGATTTGATGTACACTAAAAGTGCCCATTCATTACAATTAAGGGTACAGCTACAATGCACAATGCATCGCGAGAGGAAATACCTGCTGTTCAAGAGATCATAAAGCAATATGAAAATGGTGTCATGAGACATGATCAACAGGTAACCACGGTATCTGAGCAGGAGGACACTTGCATGCATGTAGTCCAGAACAACAGAGACAGGCCTGAAGACACATGATAACACTGTTTACACTGGATACTATGGTGATGAGAGAGAAAGAGAGAGACAGAGAGAGAGACGGCTGGTCAGATGTTCAGTTTAGACCTCACTGAGCTTCTGGTCATCGTGTCAGACACTGGAGCTATATGACGATGTACAGGTGACTTGTTTAACCTCGCTGAAGGCCTTATTATACAGGACCTTTTACTTGTTCACTTTGTACATTTTTATTTATTGATCATTTTTAATGCTAATTTCCTTGTCACATATGGGGAGCTGCTGCTGTTATGTGTCGTCTGTGACATTGCATGCTTCTCTGCTTTCTGTTGGTCTTCTCTTCGATTTTTCTCCTTCATCCCTTCTCTTATCTGCAGGTGTTTGATAAAGGATTTTGAGACACGTCCATCAGTGACGCATCTGCTGGAGCATCCATTCATTAAACAGGCTCATGGAAAAGACACGTCGCTCGGACAGCAGCTGTCGGTCCTCATCCGCGAGCAACAGGACGTGGGCAACCGGATCAAGACCAGGTACATCCTGCCCACAACACAAACCACAGGCCAGAACAACACTGTGACCTCACAGCTCTTTCCTGAAATGAGATCGAGATGTTCATGAGGTAGAGAAAAACACATTACATCACGTGCTTTAAAAAGGCTGACCGTGAAACATCACCACTTCAGATTGTAAATATACAGGTGGATTAAACCGAAGTATTATTTTTTTTAGGTCTATAATAGTCTGCCATAGACTGTCATTTTGAAGTGCTTTCAGTGACTTCTGATTCGTCTCAGGGTCAGACCAAAGATCTGGCAGCCTTGACCATGACAGCGGTCATTGACTTGCGTTTATCACTGTCCTCTGTAGATGCAGAGCTGTCGTGCTGGATTTATCACGTCTAAATGTGAAACAGTGAGACTTGCTGTTGTGACAGTCTAGAAATATATGAATCAGAGCAAACAACCTGTGTGTTGAGGGTTTCCTCGTTCCAGCTGATGGCAGTATTATCTGTGGAGGAATGAAGCTCCTCGAGTTTATTCTGAGAAGCTGGCATATAGGAGCATTCGATTCAGTCGGATGGCATGACTTCAACAGCGTATAAGTCAAACAAAACGGATATCTCTGATGCTGTTATATAGACGCAACATTAAAAACGTAATGAAAGAGTTTCCAATGGCTTCATCTTAAAAGTTTTCATTTAGACCCCTAAAATCCTGCAGATCTTATAGTCTTGTATTACTTACTCTCTGGGCCCAGAGGAGGGGAGAGGGGGCCAAAATTTTGTCCCAGGCCTTTTGAATTTAAATGACAACCCTGCCTATAGTATTCACACTAGCTGAGTTATAAATTAACTCAAATTGGCCTTTAGATTTGCATAAAAATGTCTATTGCTGAATTTCAAATATAAATATATTGAGCAGTGTAACATATTTTGTTTACTGTATTGAACAGCTTGATAAAATCTGGCCTTTCACATGAAAAACAGGTGAACATGATTTATTATAAGGTGGTTTATATTTGTAGTTGATTTGCTTCACCAAAAAAAAAATAAAGAAAGAATTACGCTACTACCATAATAATAATAATAATAATATTGTGAAATATTATAAAAATGTAAAAACTTTTTTACTTAAGTATATTTTAAAATGCAATTTATTCCTGTGATCAAAGCTGAATTTTCAGCATCAGTGTCCTTCAGAAATCATTCTAATATGCTGATTTACTGATTTACTGCTCAAGAAACATTTCTTATTATTATCACTGTTGCTGTTTTCAACATCGATAATAATAAGAAATGTTTCTTGGGCAAATGTTTCACGCTGCTTAATATTTTGTGGAAACTGTGATGCTTTTTTTTCAGGATTTTTTTGTTGATTGAAAGTTCAAAAGAGCTGAATTTCTTTAAGATATAAATCTTTTGTAACATTATAAATCTTTTACTGTCACTTAATATCAATGTAATGCATACTAAATAAAAAAGGGCTATGGCTGTATAATGCAGTTAAAAAAGTAGATCTTAAAAGTCGAGATATGCTTGTGAATTAAAAAAAACATCTAAAACAAATCCAGATCTTATCTTTTGTACTACATATACTCCAAAGACAATTCATATTAAATATATTATATTGAAGTATTGCTACGTTCTTAAAGATGATCCAAAACTTAATGGGATATTTAATAAGGAACCATTAATTACTTTAAAAAAAGTTGTAAAAGCATGTTCTACAAAACAGATTTCACAACACAAAATACCCTTACAGGTCAAGTTTTATTGGGCAATTTTAAATGTGGAAATTGTGTTAATTGTGAATTCACAAAAAAAAAAAAAAAAAAAAAATTTTTTCTTTTTTATAATAAAAGTCCTGTTTTTATCAAGAGTTTTATAACATGTAAGACAAATAATGTGATTTATAAAATCCAATGTGCATGTAACAAAATTTATGTTGGTGAAACATCCCGTTCATTACAAGAAATGATAACAGAAGAAGTGCAATAAAGGATCTAAAGAGTCCTGTTGCAAGACATTTTTGTGAATGTAACCATAAAATGTCATCTTTTTGCTTTCTTGGAATTGAAAAGGACCATGAATATAAGAGGTGGTAACATTGATTGAAAGAAGCGGGAAACTTTTTGGATCTTTTGTTTGAAAAGTCTTTTTCCAAAAGGTATGAATGAGGATTTTTCTCTTAAAGACTTTTTGTGATGGTGGTTTTAAAGTATGACTCTTTTTTTATGTGTAAGATATGTTAATCTGATGTGGATCTACTCTGATTGGGTGATTGTTGCTTTTGGGTAGTTAACTCTTACTAATTAGTTTGACGTCTTGAGTGAAGCTTGTTAACTGTTGCTAATTTGTGAATGAGTAATCCAATATGTAGATGTGTTTTTAAAGGGGTCATATGATGCGATTTCAATTTTTCAAGCTCTTGGTGCATAAAGAAGATCTGTAAAGTTGCAAAGACTAAAGTCTCAAATCTAAAGAGATATTCTTTATACACAACGCACTGGATAGCTGGCCAATCACAGCACACCTTGCTTTTCAGACCGATGAGCTTTGTAAAAATCGACGTTTCAGAAACGCGGGGCATAGAGAAACAATAATGTACAGTATGTGGAAAATAATGTTTTTTTTTTAACCTTAAACCGCATAAACACATTTCATTACACCAAATACACAAAATAATGTTCTTTTTAGCAACATCATATGACCCCTTTAAATGTCTGCGTATGATGTGTGTTGAAGCTGAGGAAGGCTCTTAGGCTTATTTTTTTTTAATTATTAAATTTCCCTTCATCACAAGTGGTGCTGAATTCGTTTTCATATTTTTGTACACAGTTTGCTTCCATGCACCTTGTGAATTGGTTAAGTTGAGCTATTAACTTATTCTGAGAAAGTGGGGGCTGGTACGCTCTGTGATTGTGAATAAACAGTCAGAGGGTTGCCAGATTGTAGCCCTTATTCCCCAGGCCACATATAATCTGCTAGCCTGATATTGACAGAGCCTTAATGAGATTATGAGTTTGGCTGTGCTCTCTCTGTTTAGTCACTGATGGCAAATATCAGTGAAGTGATTACAGAGTGAGGGAACACTGATACACACAGAAACAGAGCCACACACACATAAAGCGCAGTGCATCGTGTCTGTACGCTGTCATGTCCCCGGGGCCCGATGGGTTTTAAGAGCTGTGACTAGAGCAGCTGCTTCCTCGTGATCTAAAGGTCAAAAATACAATAGAGGGTCAAACCCTGATGAAGTGCATTCACTACACGCTATAATAGCCTTTATACCCCAGAGGATAGACCTGCATCACACCCTGATACCGCACAAAGGAATGGCATGGCTAGATGCTTAGTTTTTTTTTTTTTTTTTTGGTGTTTACTAAGTCAAGCATCACTATTCCTGTTCCTAAAACGTAGAGTTAAGGATTCTAACAAACCTCTAACACTAAACATTTGCCATGCATGCAACTAACTAGTCCTACACTATTTGTGCTATGGATGTCGATGATACTTCAAATGATGCAGCTTATTAATGTGTGCTATTACATTTGAGTTACATTTTGGACCAGCTAGTTGATAAAATGCTCAGAAAAAAACCCATAGACTTACCGTTCAGTTAGATTGTTGTAATTAATTAAATTAATGCATTAAATTGATCAAAAATGTTGATAAAGACATTTATAATGTTACAAAATGTTCTTTTGAACATTCTTCATCATCAAGAATCCTTACAAAAATGTTAAGCAGCTGTTTTCAGCATTGATAATAATCAGAAATGTTTCTTGAGCAGCAAATCAGCATATTATTATGATTTCGGAAGGATCATGTGACACTGAAGACTGGAGTAATGATGCTGAAAATTCAGCTTTGATCACAGGAATAAATTACATTTGAAAATCTATCCAAACAGAAATCTGTAGTTTTAAATTGTAATAATATTTCACAATATTACTGTTTTGACTGTATTTTTGATCAAATAAATGCAGGCTTGGTGAGCAGAAGAGACTTTCAGAAACATTATAACATCTTACTGACTCCAAACAGTCAAGAGACTAGAGACTAGAGTATCATATCACACTTGTGGGCTCTTTTGTCTTTAGAGGCCAGTAAACACCTACCAACCCCACAGAATATCCTAGAACTAGCCCTGGCAATCTCCAACAACAGCCTAGAATCATGGCACTGAGTTTTAAATTTCCTTAAAAAAAATATGTAATTGTTTATGATTGAATTGATTTTCTAGTATCTCATGTTTAATGAAGTGGTAACATTGCTTTATTGTCTTTTCTAGGCATGAGCGGATCAATACTCGCAAAACCCTGATCATTGAGAGCTGTCCTGATGATGATCTGGTGAACCTGGAGGTTTTAGATGAGGTATTTAGATGATTTGCCTGAAATCTAAACATAGGCTTTCATTTTCTTAATCATACAGACATATATATTTTTTATTTTTAGATGTAAACGCAACATTAAATCAAATTGACCTTATTTACTTTCTTAATACATGTTCCTGGACTTATTTTGCGAGATCAGTGAATGTTATTCCAAATCATAACATAACTCCATTAAAAATGCCTAAAATTGCAAAAGTAAAATGAGTTGCCTTGATGTTGACTTTAAAATGAGGTGAAATTCAATATACAGACCATTACTAAACTGTCTCAAATTATGTGAATTCAGTGAATCTTGTAGTATAAACAACAAAGAAACATTTCCATCTCCAGCATTTCTCTTTTCTAGGAAACAATCATTGCACATCTTCAGAGGCGATATCAGGAGCTGCAGATCTACACATATGTTGGTGACATCCTCATAGCGCTTAACCCTTTCCAGAACCTCAACATCTACTCTCCACAGGTGAGAGCAGCAACATCAGGCTGTGCAATAGAGCATAGTTCATGTCTAAAGCATACCATCTTTGTTTAACCATTTTTTGGTGAAATGCATGATCCACATCACACTTTGTAACAGTTGTGTGGGAGCCACTTCAAGCTGGCTTTCAGAATCAAAGCTTCCTTGTAGGGAGTGAACTAAGATGTAGTTTTGTGTCTGAAAACGCCTCTGTTCTCAGTTCTCAAAGCTCTATCATGGGATGAAACGCTCCACTAACCCCCCACACATCTTTGCCACCGCTGATGCAGCCTATCAGAGCATGGTCACCCTCTCCAAAGACCAGGTACTGCTTTCTGTGTCTGCATTCTCGTTCCTAAAACAATGTAGAGTATATCTAACATACACACGGTTCATAGACATAGCAGGTTGTCTTTAAATATGGTTTTAGATATCTATGTGGGGTTCACCAGTTGTCACTTTTCTTTAAACAGTCTTCACACTATAGTTTATTTAAATTAGTTTTTTTGTTTGAGAGAGAGAGAGAGAGAGAGAGAGAGAGAGAGAAATTAATATTTTTATTCCACAAGGACAATTCAAATTAGCCAAAAAGCGTAAGTCTTACAATGTTTCAAAAATATTCTATTTCAAATAAATGTTGTTTGGACTAGTGTTGATTTTGTTAATGAAAACTATGACGAAAAATGTTAGTTGACAAGCTTTATTCCCATGACTACCGAGACGATGACGAGATGACAATAAGCTCAATAAACGATAACTGTAACTATATCAACATGTAATATTGTTGCCGATAAAAGTCGAGACTGAAATGTATGTTTTTTAAAAACTGTACAAAAATCTCTTTATTTTCGTCGAAAAAAGGAGACAAAACATTATTGCGGACTGCTGTACACGCCTCTACTACGCGAGGCTTCATGTGTGCGGTTGCCAGATACCAAGAGTTCAAATCCCCATATCAGAGCTTCTCTGTTAAAAGGATGCATTAAAAAAAATAATAAATAAAATTCTGCATAAATTTTTTAAAAAATTAAGTTTTGGTTAATTTTTGCAATCTGGCAATCATGCACATGCGTACAATGTTGACTACATATGATAATTACTAAAAAGTACATTTGACACAGGACTAAGACTAAGACTGACTGGGCAATTCACCATTTCCAAAATATTATATCAGCAAAACTGTTCTCAACATTGATAATAATAAGAAATGTTTTTTGAACATCACTATTAGAAATATATTAGAAATGTATATTAGAAATGTTTCTGAAGGATAAAAAATATTGGAGCAATGACTGCATTTTAAAATATTGAATATTGAATATTAATATTGAAAACAATTATTTTAAATTGCAATATTACTGTTGTAACTGTATTGATCAAATAAATGCATACACGACTTATTTCTTAAACATAAAATAAGTAAGTAAGTAAATAAATAAGTAAATAAATAAAATAAAATAAAATAACATTTTACTTTAGAACAGTAGTGTATGTGCATTATGGGAGAGTGCTTTTTTTTCTTTTTTTTTAACCAACATAATTTCTACCAGTGTCAACGACATTTATGTTTTCAATTGTTTTGTCTGTGTAGTGTATAATCATTAGTGGAGAAAGTGGAGCCGGTAAAACTGAGAGTGCCCACCTCATCGTCCAACATCTCACATTTCTGGGAAAAGTTGAGTACTCACATCTTTTATACATTAGCTAACACACTTCATTCATACACTACTGTATGTGCTCTAAATAAATGCTTCAGTAAGCAATCGTTTATGTGTTTTATTATGAGATTCCTGATCATTTTCCCTCTAGTGACGTAATCATCCGTGGCTGTAAGATTTGCAGATTAAAAATCTGGGTCACACTCTTCAAACATCATCTGTTGTTTTCTATTTCAAGGCTAATAATCGAACACTTCGTGAGAAGATTCTTCAGGTGAACCCCCTGGTGGAGGCATTTGGGAATGCGTGCACAGCCATTAACGATAACTCCAGCCGCTTCGGAAAGTACCTGGAGATGAAGTTCACACCTACAGGGGCCGTCATGGGTGCTAAGATCTCTGAGTATCTTCTGGAGAAATCAAGAGTCATCAAACAGGCTACGTGAGAAACCTTTGTGCCTAGATCTGTGGCCATTTTTAACATTAATCACTATTCACAGCTTATATTTTCTTTTGCAGGGGCGAGAAAAACTTCCACATATTTTATTACATCTATGCTGGTCTTTACCACCAAGACAACCTCAAGAAATACAGGCTACCCAACAAAACTGTCCCCAGGTTTGTGTTTATATGCAGTGAAACAGACTCAGTGCTTATAAAGACGTGTGATTCTGACTCCCGATTATGTATCTACAGTGTCACTGACAGAGATCAGAGATTCATGTTACTTTTCTGGTCTTTCAGATACATTGATTGTGTTAATGGTAAAGTAATGCAGGACATAGTCTCTAGCAAACTCTACGAGGAGCAATTTGGTGCCATTCAGGACTGTTTCCGTATCATAGGATTTACTGAAGAGGTACAGCTGAAATTCGAATTTATATTTTTTTAATCACATGCAATTATTAAAGGGATTGTTGAGTTCACTCCCAATAATTTATATTTTTTCATATACAGGAAGTGAATTCTGTGTACAGAATTCTATCAGGCATTTTAAACACAGGAAATATTGAGTTCACATCCACCAGCTCCCAACATCAGAGCGACAAGAGTGAGGTGCCCGACTCTGAGGCCTTAGACAATGGTAAGAGCCTGTAATAGCTGTAAATATTATATCATAATACAATAAACACTCTACTGTAGGCATTCTTCTGTAACCCTACATAAAGTAGGACACATACAGATCTCTCCTGTATAATCACTCAGTCATGTTTTATTTATTTATTTATTTATTGACTAGTTAGTTAGTTAGGATGGTAGTAGTGGTTAGGTAGTTAGTTTGTTGCCACTTGTCCATTCCCAGTATAATTAACCTGAATACAGAGAATATTAGAAACACTCTGAATCTTCTCTGAATACAAATATCCGAGAGCTACAGGTCACTTTGTTGTCCGACGTGGCCTTAAACCCATAACTAGTTAAACCTGGAATATAATATTATGAAATACTGTATATCAAATGTTAGATTACAGATAAAACAATGGAGAAACTCATGGATTTAGTTGTTTAAAGGCTAATTCACACTGCACTGACAAACACAGACCAACAATCACAACATTGCAGTACATTACTTCTCTTAGATTCAATGACCCAATGAACGCAAATTAATCAAGCACTGACCAATGACAGCAGAACAATCCGACAAAACATGCCTGTTTCCGTTGGTCAGCATCGATAGGTTCAGTGTGAATTATTGATGCTTTTGTATTTGTTTTTTTTAAACCTTTCAAAGATGTTGTACCTTTCATGAATGTTAGTTTCTGGGTTTGCATCTTCAGAACCCACATTTTCCTAATGAAATAAACGTGTTAGAAATAAATTGACTTAGGAGAGTCTAAAGATGAGAGGTACAGATCAATTCCTGATGTTCTTCTGTCTGTATCTGCTGTGTTCAGCGGCCGCTCTGCTCAGTATTGGCTCTGAGGAGCTTCAGGAAGCTTTGACCTCCCACTGCGTGGTAACTCGAGGAGAAACCATCATTCGCACCAACACCGTGGACAAGGCCACTGATGTGAGAGACGCCATGTCTAAAGCCCTGTACGGACGCCTCTTCAGCTGGATAGTGAACCGCATCAATGCACTGCTGCAGCCTGACACTAACATCTGGTATGATAAATATTACCATTATTATCAGAGGTGCATCATTCAGTCTAAGGTTAAAATATACCCAAGCCTACCATTTTACAAAGCCCTTTTAGCAATTCATTGACACAACTTAGACCGATTTGAACTGAAATTTCAATATGGTCTTAAAGAAATAGTTTCCCCAAAAATGAAAATGCTGTCATCACCCCTGTGAAAAACTTAATGTGCACTTGTAATGTAGTCTACATCAAATCTTAGAAGTATATTTTTTTAGAAAACTGTCATGAAAGCACTTTCTTTAACTACACTTAAAGGGACAGGTCATCCAAAAATGAAAGTTTTGTCATCAGTTACTCGCCCCCAAACCTGTACGACTTTCTTTCTTCTGTAGAAAACAAACGAAGATATTTTGAAGAATGTTGGTAACCAAACAGTTTCTGGTAGCCATTGACTTCTATTGTAGGAAACAAAAAAATACTATGAAGTCAATGGCTACAGCAACTGTTTGGTTAACAGCATTCTTCAAAATACCTTCTTTTATGTTCAGCAGAAAGAAATTCATACAAGTTTGATACAACTTGAGAGTAAATGATGACAGAATTTTCATTTTTCCCGAAACCTTTTATTTTGACCTTTTATTTATTTATTACTATCTTCAAGTACCTTTTTTAAAATATTCTAATACCATTAGAATTTAAAGTACACTACAAGTGCACATTCAATACAATTAAGCACTCTTCCTTTCCACATGTAGGTTTGCTGGTGTCCCAGCCTGGTTTAAACAGAGTTTTGTTTTCAGCTATTCTATACTGTTGAGCTCATCTTTGTTGATTGACTTTTAGTTAATTTAACAGTAACTTCAAGGTAAATTCTAAGCTTTCATGCCAATCTCTCTCCTTGAATCTCTCCGTTAAGGATGCGTTTACATGCGCGAGCGTCATCTCCATCGATGACCTCCAGTCTAACCACCACAAAGCTCAGAATATTAATATCCAAAACAAAAGAATAAAAGAGCTATAAAAAAAGAGGTATTTATAAATGTTTGATACAGAGTTACATTGAAAAAATAATATGCAGATGATTAAAAAGACTTCAGAGAGAGTGGAAAAGCGGTTCATTGATTCGAGCGAATCCTGTCAGACATCAGCCACGGGCTTGTCAGAGAAACTCACGTCTTCCACCTCGATGCACACCATCCAAACTCTGCCATTTCCACTCCAATCAGCAGCGCGTTCAGCGTTATTGCCACTAATAACCTGTTAGCAGGAGCAGAAGGTGACCCCTGGTCGCTGTCGGAGGAGTTTGGAGGAGATCGCGACTGACTGAATGTTCAGAGACGAGCGCCCGAGCTCTTCGTAAACTGAAATGACATGCTCACGCAGACCTGTGTTTTTAAAGGTCTTTGTTTTTGTGTTTTCTTGGTTGACAGGTCGTAAAATATTTAGTTGTTTGGGTCATTAGAGTGCTTAAGGCCGTAATGTGTTGTGACGGTCGGATAACGTTTGGCTCTTCGTGTCTTTGAAGTGCGGCTGAGAGTGGAATGAACGTGGGGATTTTGGACATCTTTGGTTTCGAAAACTTCAAGAAGAACTCATTTGAGCAGCTGTGTATCAACATCGCTAATGAACAGATCCAGTTCTACTTCAATCAACACATCTTTGCGCTGGAACAGGTGAGACTTTCTCTTGAGTTTAAGCTCGAGTTGATCTTAAACCCACCACTATTTATCTTTGAATGCATCTGCATCGGTTTAAATGGAAATGAAAGAAAATGGAAATTTCAAAAACTGGTGAAATGTGGTATGACCTTTTCTCCCCTTACAGAAAAGTCACATGAGTTTCACATGTGCATTAAAACATGTGCTCACATGTGACCACATGTACATGTGATTTCGCACATGTGAAATTTCATGTGTGGAAACATGATAAAATCACATGTGAAACATAAGAACATGTTAAAACCACATGGGAAATGTGTGTTTTTGGAACATCTTTTGTGTGAATCCTATGTAAAATCCCATGGGATCACTCATATAAATTACCATGTGAAAAACATGTGATCAAATGCGAAAAATGTGTAAAATTCATGTGACTTTTCTGTAAGTGTCCTCAGCAGAAACTCTCTAGAACTGTTGTTGATCCGTCTATCAAGTGGTCTGACTTTTTCTTGTGACTCATGAATTAGATACATTTATATTAAATGCATTTTTGACCCCCTTTAGTAGGAATAAAGTACATCTTTATATGCAATTTCATCATCATTCTGTTGTCTTTGAATGTGGTTAAAATACTGCTGAATTCTGACAAGCATTTATCATAAACTTATAAATTGTTAAATGATTTAGTATTGTATTCAAATACATTGTTGATGCAGTCATTCAACTGTAAGGCTTCCAGGAAATGTATTTTATTTACAAATGTAGTTTTGATTGTCTTTTAACACATTCTTGGTTACTTAATATCAGTGTGTGTCTGTGTGTGTTTGTTCAGATCGAGTATCAGAGCGAGGGTGTAGATGCCAGTCTGGTGGAATATGAGGACAACAGGCCCATTCTGGACATGTTTCTTCAGAAGCCCATGGGTTTACTGTCTCTGCTGGATGAGGAGAGCCGTTTCCCACAGGCCACCGACCAAACACTCGTCGGTAATGCTTTTGAATGAGTACTTTCATGGTTACATGATGTTTCGCATACACTCTTTTTTAAAGAAAAATGCTAATAGCAAATCAGTTTTAACTGAATAGTGGCATTGCATTTAAATATATATTTATTCTTGAGATGAGAGGTCAGTTTGGTGAGATTGTCCACTCACCTTCAGTGTTTGTTATAAAGATAAGTTTCAGGATAACCTGAGAAACAAGTACTTCTGGACGCCCAAGCGTGTGGAGCTTTGCTTCGGGATCCAGCATTATGCTGGCAAGGTAAATACAATATCACTTACCATTTTATTTGCAGTACCTACAGCTTTATATTGTATTTATTATTATTATTATTTAAAATTAGTGCAACTTAATTCACTTTTAGCAAATTATGTGTGACTTAAGCCAGGTGCACTATGTACGATTTTGTCTTGAGACAAATTTTGGAAATCCTAAAAGATTCCTCTGATCCTTAATGACCGTTGCGATCAAATTTGACCTCAGACGAAATTCTGGCAGTGTGCTGTTTAATACAGTTGTGCTGCTTAATATTTAGTTAGAAACTGTGATATTTTTTTCAGAATTCTTTGATGAACAGAAAGAACTGCATTTATTCGAAATATACATTTTTTTGTTAAATTGTTTAATAAGTTGAATTGTCTTTCCAGTCACTTTTGATCAATTTAATGCACCACTGCTGAATAAAAGTGTTAATTTCTTAAACAAATAAACATGAAAATGTCTTGTGTTCTCTGTCAGGTGTTGTATAATGTCAGTGGTTTTCTGGAGAAGAACCGGGACACTCTTCCTGCAGACATTGTGGTGGTTTTGAGGACGTCAGAGAACAAACTCCTGCAGCAGCTGTTTTCCAGCCCTCTGACTAAAACAGGTACCAGAATCATTCAACTTTCATCACGCGAGCTGTTCATGTCACGCCTGACTGTCAGGTCAGTTGTGACCCAGAGTTCTCTTGACAAATATTGCGGTGCCACGGAGCATCTAGGAGGCTAGAAAAGAAATGCAGTAATGGTGTTAAAACTGTCCCAATTGTTTGAGATGCTTCACACCTCATTTTCGCCTTCCAGAGGTCACTGGGTCATGTCAGGGCCAATGGGTGAGAGCTACATTAAAATCCCTGATGGTGGATTGTAAAATGTTAAGAGTAGTTGGTGTAAATGTTTGCTGTAAAACATAAAGCAATCATTTGAAACTGATGTTCACACTTCAGCCCAGACACCTGTTGTAGTAAGAATGATTGTCTTTGTTAGTATGTCTTTTTGCTCCGATGTTAAAGGTCAATCTCAGGTCCACAGAACTGCCGAGAGATCACAGTACTGAGAGAATATTTCCACAAATTTAGGATACTAAAAACAAATAAAAATTTTCTTAAATATGTATGAGCTTTTAGCGTGAATTTAATTAGTATACAAGTATATAAAAACACTAAGAATGGGTAACAGGATTGTAGATTTAGCCTAAATAAGCTAACCCTAGCTTTGGGGTCAATAAGATTTAAAAAAAAAAAAATGTAATTAATGCTTTTAATGAGCAAGAATGCATTACATTTGTCAAAAGTGATAGTAAAGGCATTTCTAATGTTACAAAAGAAATATTAATAAAATATTCTAATATTTCAAATAAAATCTGTTCTTTTGAACTAGTCATCAATGATGGTAAAATAACCCAAACTCCAATAATAATAACTCTAAAAAAAAAAATCACAAAAATGCCACGAAATTGTAAAGCAGAACAACTGTTTTCAACATTGAATCAGAAATGTTTCTTGTGCAGCAAATCAGTATATTAGAATGATTTCTGAAAGATCATGTGACACTGAAGACTGGAGAAATGATGCTGAAAATTCAGATTTAACATCACAGGAATAAAATACTTTAAAAAATGTATTAAAATAGAAAACATTTTTAAATTGTAATAATATTTCTCAATATATTTTGATCAAATAAATGCACCCTCGATGAGCATAAGATATTTTTAAAAAAGAAGAAAAAAAAACATTAAAAAATATTACTGACTCCAATTTTTTGTATGGTACTGTACATAGTACACGCTCATAACAGAAATGCTGTAAACAGAGAGCATTGTGGGATATAAATGAATTCTTTCTCTAAATGCATACACCGATTTGTACCCTATTTGTGAAAATAATTTCTAATATTGTGTTTGTTTGTTTGAGTTTATGGAAATTCAGCCACCCGTTGAAAATGTCTGGTCTGACTTACTGATGTTACAGTGTGATTGCGTGAACATGCTGTGTGGATATTAAAACTCTAATAAGTGAGCTGAATTCAGAGACTGTGGCCACATTCTTTGTCTCTCTCTCTCTCTTTCTTTATAAATACAAATCTCTCCCCCCATTATCTCTGGAGTGGCTGATCTCCAGGCAGAAGAATAGTGGAATAGAAAGGAAGGATAGAGCTGTGGATGGATGTGTTTTCATTTCCTCTAAGCTGTCCGCTAGGCTCCCGCTGTTTCTCTGCTATCTGTTGGAGTTTGGGATATTCCAGCGATAAGATTCTCAAATACCCCGAGCAAGAAAAGCAGCTATTTTGCCCAGTAAACTGCTTTTCCTCTGCTATCGTTCTGCCAGCCAGGTGCTTAATAATGCCAAGAGTTGCTAGACGGTCACTAGACTTAGTGAGGTGTGTGAATAGCAGCACGCTGGGTACTTATAGGATGTGTATTTTCATACGTCTCTTTAGTTAAGCCACTCTCTTTAGTTGGCCACTGCCTTCAGCTACCTGTTAATGAGTGTGTTTAGTCAGAACCAAATGAAAAGATTTGAAGTAAATTAACGTGTTGAGCTTATATTAAAGTGTTGGATACTTTGCTAAATGGAATAGAATAATTTATTGGTCAATTTTGAGGTGTGTGTAGAGTGAGAGAGAGAGAGAGAGATAAGCTGATTCCCTTTAGTTCCAAATCATAGGATTTTGAAAATTGTATAAAAAAGGGTATGGATGGTTTATTATTTCAGTGGATTTTGAAGTAGACATATTCATGCTTCTTTATTCTGAAAGCTAAAATAAATATCCATAATAAGCAATAAAAACATTAGCATTGCTTACATACAAATATACATACATATTGTTAACATTAACAATTTTTTTAACCCACATCGAAGTATACACCGTTTTATTATTATTAGTATTATTAATATTTAATGCCTCCAGAAAGTCTGCAGGAAGGACACAAAAGGGAAAGTAAAGACAATTGTAAAATTACTAAATATTTTTATTGCAATTCAAATGTATTTATCTATTTATTTATTTGTATTTTTTAAAAATCTTATTAAATTTTACATTCAGATTTGCCATCACAGGAAATCACAAAATTAGTCTTGGTGAGTCATTTAAAAATAAATAAATATATAAATACAAACCTTACCAAAATGCAAATAAAAACCTTGAATGGTATGTACACTCCCTTTTAATATAAATCTGATGTATAACTAAATATAAAAACAATTCATTTACATGATACACGGTAAACTGATTTGAAGAACCTATACTGAATCCTCAGGAATTTTTATCAAACTCAAGGACTGCAAAAACAAATGGTTCTTGATACGAAAAGGGTAATTCATTTTGGTGAAAATAATATGCTACAAAGAATCACTGAACCTTTATTTTTTTAAGAGTGTAGCCATAATCTTCATTACTTAAATCACCTGATCATTTTAATCTGCAGGGCAAAATACCTGGTGAGTTTAAATTGCATATATTTTCATTGTTCTCTGTTTTTTGCTGTTATCTTTAAAATTCTGGCAGAACCTGATTTAATCTGTTTGTCCTTGGTGATTTAGTGAAGTTCATATTCCTCATCAGAGTGCAGGGTGAGCTCAGATCAGTAGGGGTCAGGCTTGATGATTCAACCACATCTCAATCACAGAGTGGGTTTGTGTTGATTAGACAGTACATGCTGTTTTGAAGTCAGTGGTGTTTGTAGCATATGCTGTAAAATGAGACCTGTGCTGAAGAAATTATGTTTGTGAAATAGCTGTGGAGGTCCATTTAGAAATAAAATGTTGAAAATAAAATTAAAATTAGAACTTTTAGCGTAGAATTTCAATTTCAATAACAGTTAATTTCTATTCCTAGGTTGTTTTGTTGTACTCTGGGTTACTACTGGATTTCATAATATTACATGGTACAATTGTAAACTCTAGATAAATTGATTTACATATTAATGGTTATTGAAGCACTGTGTTTAAAATGTATATGAATGTATAAGGAAAAATGTACTGTAATGTCTGTAATTGGTCACCATTTCTTCTTTATTTTCACTCTTCTAAATCATCCAGCTGTATTTAATCAGTGCCACTTATTACATCCAAGTGAAAGATATAACACCAACATGTCATAAATAAATAAATAAATAAAAATCCAGAATCACGGAGTCTGTAAACGGATCACCCCCTTGTGTCAGTATTTTGTTGAAGCACCTTTTGCTTTAATTAGAGCCTTTAGTCTGTTGGGATTTGTCTCTACTAACTCTACACATCTAGACTTCTGCTCTTCTTTGCAGAACTGCTCAAGTTCAGTTAAATTTGATGGTGAGCATTTGTGGACTGCAGTCTTCAAGGTCTCTTGGGATATGTCTCTGTCTCTACTAACTTTGCACATCTAGACTTTGCCATATTTGCCCACTCTTCTTTGCAGAACTGCTCGAGTTCAGTTCAATTGTATGGTGACCGTTTTGTAGACTGCAGTCTTCAAGTCATTCCACAGATTTTCAGTGGGGTTTAAGTCTGGGCTCTGACGAGGCCATGCAAGGACATTCAGCTTTTTCTCCTTCAACCACTGTGTGCTCAGTTTTGCTGTGTGCTTTGGGTCATTGTCATGTTGGAAAGTAAGCCTTCTTCCCATTGACAACTTTCTGGCAGATGGCAGCAGATTTTCCTCAAGAATCTGAGGGTATTTTGCTCCATTTTTCCTTCTATCCTGACAAGTGCTCCAGTCCCTGCTGCAGAGAAACACCCCAGAACCGTATATCACCACCTCCATGCTTTACTGGAGGAATGCTGTTATTTGGATGGTGAGCTGAATTGGATTTCATTTGGTGTTGAGGCCAAATAATTCAATTTTATTCTCATCTGCCTCAGAATCTTCAAGGTGCATTTTGGCAAAGCTCAGTCTTGAATGCATGTGGCCTTTCTTGAGGAGCGGCTTTTTTCTTGCAACCCTCCCATACAAGCCACATTTGTGGAGAATTTCTGATATTATTGTCACATGCACAAAATGACCACTCTTTGTCATAAATTCCTGCAACTGCTTCAGAGTTGCTGTAGGCCTCTTGGTCGCCTCTCTGTCCAGTTTCCTCCGGCTCTTTCATCCAGTTTGGAGTGACGTCCTGATCCAGGGAGGGTCTGTGTTGTACCAAATACCTTCCACTGCTTAATAATAGACTTCACTGTGCTTCTAGGCATTGATAAAGCCTTTGAATTTTTTTTGTATCCATCTCCTGACTTGTGCCTGTCCACAACTTTATCCCGGATATCTTTTGACAGTGCCTTGCCATCCATAGTTGATTGTTTGCTTCACTTGCACTACCAAGGACTGAAATGCTTCAGGAAAGCTCTTTTCATGCTGAGCTAATCAAAATGACCACAGCTGATCACAGATGAAAGTCAAATGGCTTTTTGTACCATTGAGAAGGTGATTAGCTACAACTGATTGAGTTTACAAGTAATTTTTAGGAGGGGGGTGATCCCTTTTCCAACTCATAAGTTGCACTGAGTAAATACAGCTGGATAAAAAAAAAATCTGTCTTCATTTCAGGCTGAAAAGCAACAAAATGTGATTCTTTTAGAGGAAGGGGATTATTTTCTATACCCACTGTAGTACCACATAAAGCCACTCTGGTGGTGTA